CTCAACTTGAATGTCTGTCTGTCCTCAATTCTGTTGATGCCTCGACAAAACCCTAAACCCTAAACCCTAAACCCTAAACCCTAAACCCTAAGGAGTGAGATGTGGGCGGTGCAGAGTGTTTGCGGTAAACCCTAAACCCTCAACTTGAATGTCACAGACAGGAGTTAAGACAATTACGGAGCTGTTTTGGGATTTGGGATTTGGGATTTGGGATAACCCTAAGGAGTGAGACGTGGGCGGTGCAGAGTGTTTGCGGTAAACCCTAAACCCTCAACTTGAATGTCTGTCTGTCCTCAATTCTGTTAATGCCTCTACAAAACCCTAAACCCTAAACCCCAGGGAGTGAGATGGGGTTTATAAGACAAAAACTCTGCACAGCCCACAACCCTCAACTGGAGCGTCTCCCTGCTGCGAACGCTCCGAACCTGCCGAATCCCAAACCCCAAACCCTAAACCCTAAACCCTAAACCCTAGTTTGGCGAAACCCCAAACCGCAAGTCCCGAGGCCTGCAAGGCCCCCCGCGTTCGCTGGCCCCGCGGCCGCCCCCCCCCGCCAAACCCTAAACCCTAAAAGAGCGTATAGGGGGTTTAAGAGGGTCTTTTTGCGCGGTTTTTTCAGGAGAATCGTTGATAAACGACGGGAGCGCAGTGTTGTTGTTTCAGTTTTTCTTTTTGTTGCTTCAAGGAGTTGCAGAAACTCCTTTTTCGACCTTTTTGATGTTCGTAAAACTCCTCTTTTTGGGGCCCGCCTTCGGCGCCGCCGTCGGACTCCTCGCCTACGCCTGGCTGCTCTTCTTCCGCAAATTCCCCCTCACCCAAAGCCTCGCCTTCATCACTTTTACGTACATTTCTTTTTTCCTCGCAGAAGCTGTTTTTCAACTTTCAGGTCCCCTCACTGTTGTTTGTTTTGGATTGTTTATAAAGGCTTATGGACACATTGCCTTGGATAGGGACGCGCAGGCCAAGCACCAGACGTTTGTTGCAGGTTCGTATCTTTTATATTAAACCCTAAACCCTAAAAAGGGGTATAGCGTAGGTAGGTGGTGGGGTTTAGAAAGGTTTGTTTTGGATTGTTTATAAAGGCTTATGGACACATTGCACTGGATAGGGATGCGCAGGCGAAGCACCAGACGTTTGTGGCAGGTTCGTATCTTTTATATCAAGCCCTAAACCCTAAACCCTAAACCCTGAAAAGGGGTATAGCGTAGGTGCCGTAGGTGGTGGGGTTTAGGTTTGTTTTGGACTCTTTATAAAGGCTTATGGCCATATTGCACTGGATAGGGATGCGCAGGCGAAGCATCAGACGTTTGTTGCAGGTTTGTATCTTTTATATTAAACCCTAAACCCTAAACCCTAAACCCTAAAAAGGGGTATAGCGTAGGTAGGTGTTGGGGTTTAGAGAGGTTTGTTTTGGACTCTTTATAAAAGCTTATGGACATATTGCACTGGATAGGGATGCGCAGGCGAAGCATCAGACGTTTGTTGCAGGTTTGTATCTTTTATATTAAACCCTAAACCCTAAACCCTAAAAAGGGGTATAGCGTAGGTGCAGTAGGTGTTGGGGTTTAGAGAGGTTTGTTTTGGACTCTTTATAAAGGCTTATGGGCATACTGCGTTGGATAGAGATGCACAGGCTAAACTTTTGTTGCAGGTTTGTGTTTTAAACCCTAAACCCTAGGGGACAGTAAACCCTAAACCCTAAACCCTAAACCCTAATTGGTAGGATAGCCCAGGTGAGGCGGTAGGAAGGGTTTAGAGAGGCTGCTTTTTGAGGGTTATGGGCACATTGCACTGGATCAGGATGCGCAGGCTGCAGGTGTTACACTAAACCCTAAACCCTAAACCCTAAACCCTAAACCCTAGGAAACACTGAATACTCTAGGCGATGTAGTTGGTAGGGTTTAGAGAGGTTGTTTATAAAGGCTTGTGGACATATTGCACTGGAAAATCAGACTTTTGTTGCAGGTTTGTAGTAAACCCTAAACCCTAAACCCTAAACCCTAAACCCTAAACCCTAATTCATAAGAAAGCTTAGGTGAGGCGGTAGGTAGAAACGCGCAAGCGAAGCATCAGACTTTTGTTGCAGGTTGAGATGCACAGGTCAAACCCTAAACCCTAAACCCTAAACCCTAGGTCTTACTAGTGAGAACTAGCATCTTCCAACGCAAACCCTAAACCCTAAACCCTAGCTGGGAGCTACGCGAGAGGCACTCTTGGGAACAAGTCAAAGCAGCAGAAAACCCTAAACCCTAAACCCTAGGTTTTGGGCTTTAGATGCGGGAAAGCTGTTAGGAAAGAAGCCCCAGCAATGAAACCCTAAACCCTAAACCCTAGCTTTCTTCTCTCTGCAGCTTTAAGAGGGTTTGTGTCTCCAAGCCCCCCTCCTTCCCAATCCCTAAACCCTCCTAAACCCTAAACCCTCATCCCAAACCCCAAACCCTCCCACCAAACCCCAAACCCTCCCACCAAATCCCAAACCCTTCTCCCAAACCCCAAACCCTTCTCCCAAACCCCAAACCCTTCTCCCAAACCCCAAACCCTTTTCCCAAACCCCAAACCCTTCTCCCAAACCCCAAACCCTCTTAAACCCTAGCCCCTCCCAAACCCTTTCAAACCCTACCCCGTGTGAACCCGTGACCCCCCTGAAACCCCGCAAGCCCCAATTGCCGCCAAACCCTAAACCCTAAACCCTAAACCCTAAACCCTAGTTGTGTGCGTGTTGCAGCGCTGGCGCTGATGGGGAACTGCACCATATTTATAGTTTCGGGAATTGTGACTTATGGAATGTTGAGTTCTGTTTTCACAAAAGAAAATGGAATATCTCTTTGGCTAAATCTTCTTTTGATTTATTTTTATTTAAACATTGCGAGGGTTTTGATGCTTATTTTCTTTTTGCCAATTTTGAGAAGGACTGGATACGGACTCAGCTGGAAAGAGGTATTTAATTCAATTTATTTAATTTAATTCAATTTATTTATTTAATTTAATTTATTTAATTTATTTAATTTAATTTGTTCTGTTTTATTATTTAATTTGCTTCATTTTGGTTGTTTTATCTTTTTTATTTGTTTAGTTTTTGCTAAATTGATTTTCATTTTTATTTTTATTTTAACATCGCAAGGGTTTTAGTGCTGATTTTCTTTTTGCAAATCTTATGAAGAATTGGATACGGATTTAACTGGAAAGAGGTATTTAATTCGATTTATTTATTTAATTATTTATTTAATTATTTATTTAATTATTTATTTAATTGTTTGTTTATTTTATTTATTTAATTTGCTTTACTTTGGTTGTTTTATCTTTTTTATTTATTTAGTTTTTGTCAAAATGGAATTTCTTTTGTCTAAATTTTTTTTGTATTTAAACATCGCGTAAGAAGAACAGGATAAGAACTCAGTTGGAAAGAGGTTTATTTATTTTAATTAATTTAATTCAGTTAATTTAATTAATTAATTAATTAATTATTTATTTATCTATTTAATTTGCTTTATTTTGATTGTTTTATTTGTTTTATTTACTTAATTGTCGCTAAATGAATTTCATTTTGGCCAAATCCTTTTTTGATTTATTTTTATTTAAATGTCGGACTCAGTTGAAAAGAGATCTTTTTATTTTATTTATTTACTATATATATTTATTTTATTTATTCATTTTGTCTATTTATTCTATTACTTATTTTATTTATCTATTTTATTTATTTATTTTGTTTACTCATTTTATTTATTTTATTTATTTGCTTATTCATTTTACTCATCTTATTTATTTCACTTAGTTAATTTGATTTGATTTAATTAATTATTTATTTATTTAAAATTTTAAATCTGTTTAATTAGTTTGTTTGATTGATTTGTTTATTTTTTAATTTAGTTAATATGTTTGATTTGTTTCTTTTGTTTAATTTGTTTGTTTTGTTAATTTTGTAAGAGGTTTGGTGTATTTCATATACCCCTTTTTAGGGTTTTGGTTCTTTCTGTAGTTTTATTTCACTTCATTTATTTTGAAAGAGGTTTGTTGTTCAAACCCTCTATCAGGGTTTTAATTCTTTTTTGTTTTATTTTTAATTCTGTTTACTTAAAAGTTTTATTATTTTATTTTTTATTTTTTTTTTTATTTTTTTATATTTTTCGGAAGTTTAAAACGCACTGCGGAGAGCTCAGCACTTTTCCCCTTTTCATTTTATTTATTTTTTTATCATTTATTTTTATTTATTTATTTTTATTTATTTTTATTTATTTTTATTATTTTTATTTATTTATTTATTTATATTTTTTTAATTTGTTGTTATGTATATTTGTACATGCCTCAGATGAAGTGGACTTGTCGTATGGTGTCTGCTGCTGCTGCTGCTGCTGCTGCTCGTGCTGTTGCTGCTGCTGTTGCTGCTGCTGCTGCTGTTGCTGCTGCTGCTGCAGTAAGGAGACAAATGCAGTTTCAGCAGCACATTTTTAATTCGTTCTTTTTCCTTTTGCAGTCCCTCATTATTCTCCTTCTCCCTCCTGTGCTGCTGCTGCTGCTTCTGCTGTTCCTGCTGCTGCTGCTGCTGCTGTCCCCGTTGCTGCTGCTGCTGCTGCTGCTGCTGCTCCCCCGCTGCTGCTGCTCCCCCCCTCTGCCGCTGCGTCTCCGGCGCCACTGCTGCTCCCCCGCCTTCGCCGCCGCCGCTGCTGCTGCTGCTGCTGCTGCCGCTGCTGCTGCTGCTGCCGCTGCTGCTGCTGCTGCTGCTGCTGCTGCTGCTGCTGCAGGTGATACTGCTGTTTTGGGGGGGCCTGCGGGGAGGCATTGTGCTGGCGCTGGGCCTTCGAATAGAAAGAGACTCGAGTTTGAATTCTTCCGTGAAGGAAGTTTTGTCTTTTTACATTTCGGGATCAGTTTTTTTGATTTTGTTGATAAATGGAATAACTTTTGAACTTCTCTACAGACTCCTAAACCCTTATCCTCCCAAACCCTTTCGTAGGGTTTACCTCGAGGCTGTGATGCGCATGATAGACCACCAGTACTTGGAGGACCGCAAGGCCCTCGAAAACCACTGGCTCTTCAAAGGTAGGGTTTAGGGTTTAGGGTTTAGGGTTTAGGGTTTAGGGTTTAGGGTTTAGGGTGTAGGGGTTCGAGGTGGGGGCTTCAGAGGGTTTTAAGGGTTTGAGATGGTTCATGAGGGTTTATGAGCGCTTTGGAGGTTTAGAAGGGTTTTGGAGGGTTTGCGAGGGTTTTAGATACTTCGAAGCTTACCTGGGCACATATACTACGCTTCAAGCTTCAGGGTTTAGGGTTTAGGGTTTAGGGTTTAGGGTTTAGGGTTTAGGGTTTAGGGTTTAGGGGCACCAGTGCAGCCGATCGACTCCTTCTCTGAACGGACTCGAGCAACTCAATTCAATTAAATTAATTAAATTAATTTAGTTTAATTTAATTAATTTAATTTAATTAATTTAATTAATTTAATTAATTAATTTAATTAATTAATTTAATTTATTTATTTAATTCAGGAACTGACGTTTTGACCCACGCGGACCGAATTGTCCCAAAACTCGGCTGGCGGCGAGTCGACCGTTTGGGCAATTTGGAAATCAAATCTCCGGACATTTCCCAAGTACTTTTATTTATTTTATTTATTTATTTATTTATTTATTTATTTATTTATTTATTTATTTATTTATTTATTTATTTATTATTTGTTTGTTATTTGTTTATTTATTATTTATTTATTTATTACATTTGTTTGTTTTTTTATTTTTTTATCTGTGTGTTTTATTTGTTTATTTACTATATTTGTTTGTTTATTTGTTTATTTACTATATTTGTTTATTATTTGTTTATTATGTATTATTTGTTTATTTATTTATTATATTCGTTTATTTATTTGTTTATTTGTTTATTTATTATTTATTTTTTTGTTTATTTACTTGTTTATTTGTTTAGTTATTTATTTGTTTGTTTTATTGTTTATTTGTTTCATTTGTTTGTTTTATTTGTTTGTTTTCTTTGTTTCGTATGTTTGTTTTATTTGTTTTGTTTGTTCGTTTTATTTGTTTTTAGTTTGTTTTGATTTGGTTTTATTTTTTTAATTCATTTTGAATGCGCTTTTGATTCATTTTAATTTTATTTTTATTCACTTAGCTGGTTATTTCATTGTGCGTTTTGTTTTTATTTCATTCTTATTTTATTTTTATTTTATTTTATTCTATTTCAATTCTGTTTTTCGTTTTGTTTTGTTTTGTTTTATTTAGTTTATTTTGTTTATTATTTTGCTTTTTTATTATTTGTTTTTATCATTTATTCTTTTTTTGCCATTTTTAGTGGTTTTGTGTTTGATGGCATTTAGTATCTTTTGCTGCCATTTGTTTATCATTTATTTTTTATTTATTTATTATTAGTTTTTTATTTATTATTTATTTGTTATTTATTTAATAAATAACAAACAAATAATTATGTATTAATTATTTATTTGTTATTTATTATTTATGTGTAATTTATTTATTACTTATATTCTATTTATGTGTTATTTATTCTTATTTATTATTTATGTATTATTTGTTTGTTATTTATTATTTATTATTTATCATTTATTAATTAGTTATCATTTTTATTATTTGTATGTCATTTTTTATCATTTCTTTTTCATTTTTAAGACTTTTTATTATTTATTTATCATTTCTTTGCCATTTACTTTTCTTTAATTTATTATTAATTATTTATTTAGCATTTACTTATCATTTACTTTTTGTTTTTTTTATTATTCATTTGCTGTTTATTTACTACTTTTTATTATTTATTTATTATTATTTTGAATGAATTAACCCAAATAACTTTATTTTTTGTTTATTTTTCCATATAATTTATTTTATTTATTTTATTTATTCTATTATTTTATTCAGTTAATTTATTTTATTTATTTATTTATTTATTTATTTATTTTGTTTTATTATTAATTCATAATTTGTAATTATTTGCAAATAATGAATTATTTGTTTGCAGGCTTTTCTGTCTTTGCATGAAGCAGCAATTTACACTTGGGTGGTTCCGAGTGAGGAGACAGGAGAAGAAGAAGAAGGAGAGGACGAGTCTCCTGCTGCTGCTGCTGCTGCTGCTGCTGCTGCTGCTGCTGCTGCTGCTGCTGCTGCTGGGGGCAGCAGCCACACTGTGGGGCTGAACAACAGCAGCAGCAAAGAAATTAATTTAAATCCCAATTACCAGCAGCTGCTGTCTCGCACTGACACTTTGCCTGGCTTTCGCCGCAGCGGCTCCCAAGCAGCAGCAGGTTCTCCAGTGGGCGCAGCAGCAACTGCAGCAGACACCCCAGCAGCAAAGGGCCGCGTGCTTTCGCCGCAGCGGCTGCAGTTCCAAGGCCTAAGCCCTGCTGCTGCTGCTGCTGCTGCTGCTGCCTCTCCTGCTGTTGCTGCTGCTGCTGCATCTCCTGCTGCTGCTGCTGCTGGCAGCAGTTCTTACTTCTCCAGTAGAGGCCTTAGCGGCAAATTCGAAGAGACTGAAGCTTTAGGAGACCAGACGGCTGTGTCTTCCTCCTC